CTGAAGGGGGCCGTGGGGTCCAAGGGGAGTGCAGGCCTTCGTCCATGCATTCTCTGCGCTAATGCACTGGACAAGACCCGACCCCAAGTCCCAGGTCACGAGAGCATCGCATCTCACAACTTCGCCGCCTTCCAGCCCCTGCAGCAACCTCAACTCGATGCCTACATGGCACACCTGGCAAGTCTACCTACAAAGAGCAAGCTCGAAGAAAGTCAAACTCTTTTGGGCTGGCGTTTCATTCCGGAAAGTATCGTTTCCCGCCCAGGCCTGCTAATTGCAGAGCGATGCATTTACGATGCCATGCATTGCTACTGGAGCCAGGGAACGGTTAACTGTGAGGTCGGCTTGCTGCTGGCCTCTGTCAAAGAAAAAATCGGGCTCGAGCCGGCGCAGCTCGCCCAACAGCTCAGAGTCCTCAAATGGCGCTGCCCCTTTTACAAGGAAACAGCCCCCACGGTCCTCTCTGAGAAGCTCCTGCAAGCAGGCGTGGACTACAAGGGCACTGCAAAGCAGACGCTCTTGGTGCTTCCGCTGCTGAATTTCTTCGCACAAGAAGTCTTGTCGCAGAAGGACGAGCTGCAGCAGGAGATCGAGTGCTTGCGTCGCTTGAACACTGTCTGCCGCAGAATTCTGCTGCTGAAATGTCAGAAGAGCATTAGCCAAGCCGATGCAAACCATCTCGTGCAGCTGCAGCAAGACCACTTGCAAGCCTTCAAGGCATGCTATGGTGAAAGGAATGTGAAGCCGAAGCATCACTACAGCTTCCACACATCGCAGCCAGCTGTCCCGTTGCAAATCTTCCTGGACACCTTCGTTTGCGAACGAAAAAACAGGAACTTCAAGCAACTTCTTGGAAGCCGGGCCTGCGTCCTTAGGCACTTTGAGATGACGGCCATGGCCACTCTTATTTCTCACGAGCTCAAGTGGAAAGGTAACTGGTCGCCTCATGCTGTGCTTTCAGAACCTCAGGCGGGAAAGAAAAGCGAACGCCTGCATGCACATGCTGAGTGCCAGGGCCAAGAGTATCACGCGGGACTGTATATCCTCTCCAAGTGTCTTGCAGTGCATGTCAGAGGCTTCGTGGAGACGCCGAAGGCACCCAATGGGGCTCAGGCCGTTGCAGACCAACTGTGCTGCAAGCATTGGAAAGAGGACTACAGCACGTGGAGCAAACCTGGCAGAGAATGTGCTGTAAAGCTCGAGGACTTGCGTGCGGCATGGAGGCCGAATTGGATTCTCGAAGAAGCATGCCAAGTCATTTCCTTGCAGTAGGAAGCGAATAGGCGGCAAAAAATGCATGTGCAGAGACCAGAAACGCTCGCCTGGAAAAAAGTGCTTCCCGAAGGCCTCTGAAACTTAGAATAATTTACAATAACTTATAAGTCATTTATAAAAACTTA